TGTACTACATGCTATGAATCACTTACTTGAGAAAGAGAAGATCGCCACCTCTACCACTCATGGTACTTACATAACTACTTTTTAAAAACATCGGGCATATGTTCTCTCTGCGCACAATACTACAATGAATACCACAAGAACTAAAAGGAGGTTGTGCCTCCAACGTTGAAAACAAAAGTATGAATTCCAGAATGGGGTGAAGTCCTGTTTCAAAATCACACCCGGGTGTGGAAAGTTGTAAATGTTAAGCAATTTTCATACATATCAACATAGCGAATTATCACTTGATCGAGATCAAGCAACAAACCTGTTGAAAACAACCGCTGTAAGTTAACGCAACGTATGCCTATTTTGATTGAATCAATGGCAAAGCAAGGGAGCACCGTAACTTGACTAAACTTCAGAAACACAGGCATCTGCTAAACCAGAACACAAACCTGTACTGAGGACGTTACAAAGCGCGGGAAGTAAGTGGCATCTTAGATTGCCTCTTCATGCTGCAAGTGTATTGAATACAAAGTTTTGTGTAACTGAAGCATCAAGGTTCGATAAAGATAAATCGGACAAAGTGCGACCAATTCTCTTACTCACGAAGTACTGACCACAGATCTACCACTGGCGCCCTACCTAACCGAATTAACTTGCTATCAATCCTTACGCAGGATACCGGAGCCAGCCAAAACGGACAATGTTTGTTTGTAAAGCACAAGTAATAGCTTCATTAATACACACAAAGAGCTAGTACAGACACGAAGGTATTAGAATGGGGCATAAATATATGATTCATAATTCATTCGGTGTTAGCCACACTCCTTCGTCGTGCATGTAATCCATCTGAAAATGCATGAAAATCGCATATCTGACGAGATGATGATGAGGTAGTAGTAATTGTCATCTTGAATTTCACCACTATTTGAGCTGACCATTTTCGTAAAGGTTGCACCCTCTGAGTCAACAGCAAAGATTAGTAGGTCAAAGGGTAACGTTAATAAATTGATAATATTCGACGGGTAGGTACCTTGTTGGCGGTAGTAATAGGCACAGCTAAACCTCGGAAATTAATCGACAACGTCTACCGTACATGCGAAAACAAAACCCTTACATACAAGTACAGATTAACAGCAGCGACGATGTTGCAAATTTGCAGTAGTACTCTTGTTTCTTGACATACACCAAACGTTCGACCGAGTACCGCACAAGCGACTGCTACAAAACTTAGAGAACTTTGGGATCCGGGACCCATTACTAGGTTGGCTATCGTCATACCTGAGCGATCGTCATCAGGTTGTCGCTTAAGTGATTATCGCTCTTCCTCACGCTCAATCACTAGTGGAATCATTCAAGGAAGCGTGCTCGGCCCCTTACTCTTTCTGCTTTTCATCAATGGCATCACCAGATCTGTAAAACATAGCACATCATTTTTATTTTCTAACCACATCAAACTAGTCTATACGTTTCGGCGTGACGAGCTTTACGGGATATTACTGTTCTTACAAGATGATCTACATTCACTTGAGTCATGGTGCTGCATATGGGTGATGAACCTCTCGGCTAAGAAATCAAGCGTCATGTATTACGGCTGCTGCATCCTAGAAGGATCAATCACCCTAAACAACGAACGCGTCCCTACACAGTTGTCCACGTGAAAACTTGGCATTAGATACTCGTCTATCTTCAATTTATCCGAACAAGCCCAATACCACGTATCAAGTGTCAGACGGTCTATGTTCAATATAACAAACAATATACACACAACTCGTGCTAGAGTTAAGCTTTTCAAGCTACTCACTCACCCCGTCCTCGAATACTGCAGCATAATATACGGAAATATGAGAAAGAGTGACAGAATTGCTGTGGAGAACCTGCAGAGGTCATTTACTAACCATCGGATTGGTAAACACACTACTATGCGTTATCGAGAACGTTGCAATGAACTTCATCTAGAACCGCTTTGGATTCGGCGATTGAAGCACAACTTGTTGCTGCTTTACCACATGTTACACCAAAAGTCCTATTCCAACCTACCTACACTCAATTTACAACCTTGCTCAACTCGAGCGCTTCGTAACAAAGATTTTACATTGAATATACCGAAGGCTAGTACGGACGTCCGCTCTAAGTTCTTCCTGGTCAGATGCAGCTATCTGTGAAATAAACTACCAATAACAGTTATGTCATATGACAATGTGGCAAAATTTAGTAGCAGACTCGCCACTTACCTTATCTAACTACTCTAAGTTCTATATTCACACGGGAAAAAATCCCTCGATGAGCTATTCTAAGAGGGGCCCAAAAACATATAAACATCTATGTTTTCATAAGTAGGCTTTGGCCTAAACCCTCCGCCAGAATGTTAATACATGAAATGCATATCCCAATACTCCACCTATGCACGTCACCAATGCAAGAGGATGGATACTTCTGTACAAGTTGATCTGTGCCGCCATAGACACAGTTTCTCTCAGCAAGAGAAATATAAGTATTGTTATTATTGTTATTGTTATTGTTATTATTACTATTATGTCACAGCTGCGGCACGAGTACTTTGCATTATTAGTAATTGGTACCGGTGGCAGATTTACTACGGGGTGTTGCTTGCTTATGTAACTTTCCCGATGCTACTTCGGTTTTGGTACCTCGTAGCTGCAATGATGAGAGACCAGACTACCTTGGATGAGGTTATATATTTGAACGGAAGCGGCTCTTCAGTATAACCACTGGAACATTTATATACTGAACTAGTGTTTGAAACAGTGTGGCGAATTTTGTTAGGTTTTGCTATGCGCTATTATACCCAAGTGACAGGAGCCTTTCGTCTCAGATCGCAAGCCACTCGTGCTCTGTTCTCTTCCACTGTTTCTGTCGTCCTAGTATGGGAAATCTAGACCACGATGTGTAATATCAGTTTGCCAGTCCGCACATGGACCACCAAAAGTGGTGACATATACTAACCTACTAATGCTGATTTATCATTTTATTTGGTACACCTAAGTGTCATAAAAACGCTGCGACTGCATAGTTTTCTCACTTTACTATCAGCGGAGCCATGTAGCTAAACGACTTGAATTACCCACGGCTTCCAAGTTTCGTGTTCTTCGCACCCTAAGTGATGCTTCGCTGGTTGAACGACGAGCAACGGTATCAGTGATAATTTCTTTGAAGTCATATATATTAAGCAGTGTTGAATTGGCACAAAGTTACAATAAGTTTTCAGGCAAAATTCGGAGAAATTACACTCCCCCTGAAGGTCTCTTAAAAACATTGCTTACAAAATGTACATAGCTGGTATGGTTGCATGTTCGCTGACTTCTAATGATTTGAATTTACCGGTCAAAAGTTGCACATTTATGAACCAGAAGCTCAATGTAGAAGCTTTCTTCGTACATTATGAGTGAATTATGATGCTTATGTAACGCAATTTTGACAACGCTAATAATTCATTTGCATAATTTATCCTAGTTTGAATGATTTTCTGGTGTGAAGCATGGAATTTTGAAACGTATATTTCTTAAAGATAGCTTTAACTATAACTTTAGGACGGGAGTTCTGGTAGAAAGCATGGAGTGAAAGCGACTTGCCACAACGTAAACCGGAGTATGTAGCGTTTACTGTAAAACTTAAGACTTGGATTAACCTATCAAGACAATATTTTAGCAGCTCGGTCCAAACGTATTTGTTGTAGTCTCTCACTACATCATAGAAAAGGTGAATAGTGGCCACATTCACACTAATAAGTTTTGCACTGATGCATCGGTTTACGATAGATATTACAAGCGGAAAATTGTTGAATCTTACTTACTGCGTTGTCCACGATAAAGTTTAAGACGAATTGTACTGTATGTTTATTTCAAAATTGGGAACGCATTTAGAGTTACAACTATTCGAAACCTGGGGAGTAAAGTATTCCAGCGTATACAGGTTTGTCATGCGGCAGCGATTGCTGTCTGTTTGCTAGCATTTAATTTAACGTTGAGATGGTCTACATGACACTGGTTTCTTGACTGATTCCTCAAATAACATGTACACATTTCCACCGAAATTTGTTTGGCTGGCATGCTGACTGCTTGGTTTTTTAGGGCTAATAACACAAGAGCTGCAGCATGACACTGTGTAAATATTGATAAGCGCTGACTCATGAACATTTCCCGGACATGAATTTATCACAAACCCTCATTTTCTTCCCGATGCGTAATTCGAGATGTCACCAAAATCGAAAGGGTCGGCGTCAGTTACATATATACATTGGTGTCCCTAAATTATGTTACGGAAAATCAGAAACCACAAACTGTACTTGTGGTTCACCTTAACCTAATGAGGGAATGCGAAGCATAATTTGTTTAATGGTAAATACGGTGAAGCTTTAAGAATCTCAGTAGTCCTCCCAGCTACCAGTAACTTCATTAGATACTAACTGTGGAGCTTCTCCACCAGACTTGATTGTCCGCATCCAAAGTTCAAACATTAGCCATTGCTACACTTCGCCCAGTCGACGCCTCTTGTGACAGAGTTACGCAATCAGGCATCAGGCGGTGTTGTGTGTCTACTAGACGCAGAGTAGCCAGTATTTGAACCACTACTATCTGTGTAAGAGGTCTCTCATTATACAGTTCACTAACAATCATATCTCGAGAGTTACACATTAAATCATGAGACCAGTAAAGCAGCTGATAATATAATTACTATCATGCCCTACGTTATTTTCCGGTGAACAAAATGTACCATCTACTTACTGTTAACTTAGTTACGCATTTTTCGGTGAACAAAGCGGCATCTGCTTCACATGTACAACAAAATACATCAACTAAAGTTCGAAAAAGAATCAAAGGGTAGGCATGGTGCTCATTCTGATTCTGAGAAGCGTACTCAAACTAAAACTCCTCCGAGACATCTTCAGTTTAAACTGCAGATTGTGGCTACTCCATTTATTGGAAGATGTCTAACGTGGACACTGCAACGTCATTTTCTCACAATCTGTCGATTCACGCTATTGTACCTCACAGGTTAAAAGAACTGCAACTGAATTGCTTATTGTGCTGCACTACCTACAATCTCATGAAGAGGGCACAAGGCGAAGCGGCGAAGACACTCCTATATTGCATGCTTTGGAGGTGCAGTTGAATGGCAGAATGATGCGTAATGAACTGCGCACTCTTCTAAACACCGTACGCCACCGTGCAATGCAGGGTCTGCTTCCTACTGTCGATGGGAATTGGGTTGTGCACTCTGTGCCAATGCTGACACGGTTTCTCTCCTATCCGGACAATGACACCTCACTAGACCAACTTGCACCACGTGAGTTGCAGCGGATAAGTCACTGTAATTACTCCGAACACCCGAAGGTTGTTTTCGTATTTAAGTGGGATAACACAGAAATAAAACAAACCGCCACTCGGCATCCAAACCCCAAATCATAAGCAACTTAATATGAGTGTTGTTTTTATTATTACTAAAATAAATTGTGACCGGAATCGCAGACATTAATGTTCTCAGTGTAAAACATTTGTTTACATCGTTTATGCTCTAGTTGTAAATTGTGCACTCACACTTTCATACATTATCCTGTTGGATAAGATTGATGTCCGATGTTTACTTAATTTTTGCAGCATATAAAAGCCGGTATGACTGAATCCATTTGGTGTACCTACGAAGCATTATAGCTTCACAAAAGAAGTTAAATATTCTAGTTCCGCTACTTAATCGAATAAGTAAGCATTAACATATAGCACAAAGAAAAGCTTTTAAACTTCATCCAGCTAGTAATACAATCCTTAGTGACACAAATCCTGGCCCACAAGTCAGTCATGGCAGGCGACCTAATAATTCATTTAGGATAACATATCAAAGATTAAGCTAATCCTCAAAAAGATGCTCAACACTTCTTATGAGTATTTACTGATTTATGCGTGTCAAGAACTGTGCGCTGTTCATCAATCCAAAACGTCAGAGCTTGAAATGACCTTATGTTTGTAAATATTGATGCATGGATACTTTGAAATAAGTACTGGCTGCCAGTGGAAAGGAAAGAGCTAAGTTGGTAGACACGAACTGGATCATTTCGTGTGAAATAGATATTCCTGTTAAAATGAACTTATTCTACTGAATTTCACTTCCATATGGCGCAAGTAGTTCAGCATGCGTCAGTCGCCTTGCACTTTGTGCAGTACGTTCGTCGTCCTCTGCAGTATAAGGGGTTAACTAATAAACAAAAGATTTGGGCTAAGCAAAAGCTATACATCACTTGATCCCTTACCGATTTTGCTACACATAAGGTACCGAACCGCCATATAGTATCCCGTGCGATGCGAAAACTAACAGTGCGTGAGAAATAATAGGCCTGTGACCGAATCATTGCAAGGCAAAATGTTTGTATTCCTGAGCGGAGGGCTAGATGTTTTTCATCGCAGAAGATCCCAAGTCAGGTAGCCCTTCACACACCAGGGAAAGCACTAGATAGTCTCATCAGCAGTGGAAGTCCTTCCGCTCCATCAAGATCCGAAACCTTTGACTAACAGCAATTTGCGCCACTAACCAACGGCTTATACCACTAAGCTGTAGGAACGACCGAGGGTAAATATTCCAATTAACATCACAATGGTTCGAGGCCTGTCATCACCACCTGATGAGATCAGACAAGTTTGAAATGCGTAGTGGTGTGCAGTTTTTTCTGTTGGGCGGCACCCAATGCCCATACGCTTCGGCTACGGTCCTAGTGATCGAATTGGCCACGCTTCGCTTCAATGTGAATCACAGTCCCCATTATGCGTCGCAAACCAATCACAAAACGTGTACCTCAAAGTGAACGTTCAGTCGGAGGAACGTCTTGTTTTACAAGTCAAGCGCAGAAGGCAGCATTTTTCCTGATATTTACAGCTTTGCCTTGGCTGTTTCTAAAGGCCATGTCGATCAAAGCTGCAGTTAGTTGGAGTCACAAATCTTTGGATTAATCTTGTTCTTTGAGACATTCGTAACGTACCGGGCAAGGAGTGATGAGCTGCGTTAAATCGTTGCAAAATCCTAAGCGATGACGATCTGCTGCCCTCATCTATGGTTCAGCGGCTTATGCCGCTAATTAATGGTGTGGTCGTCTAGTGCTTATGTGTACGGATGATAGTGGGGCCGATTGATTCGCACTACTGGTGAGTCCCGAAGTAACGAAGCGCCCAGCTATTGACTTTCCAGACGAACAGACGAATCTTTGACTTACAGGCTACTGCAATGGTCTCCAACTTAAATGCGTGCAATTTTGTGGGGTTGTTAACGCGCGATCTGACGCTCCCCTAATATTCCCACAATGTGTCGATCATCTCTCCATAGCATTTATATCCAGTCAGCAGATCAGCGATAAGCAGACATGCCTACATTTATGTAGTTAGAGGCAATGAGCGGCGAGAGACTATCGGGTATCACTGATGGCAAGGATATTTCAATATATATTGAAGATCATGAAATAAGTAATATACAAACACTAAGAAATCTAAAGGCTGCAAATCCCGTGGAAATAGGTGCATGAGTCTACTCAGTGTGGCAATCTTAATAAGGCAGACAGTTCAAGTGCCTTTTATCGTAGTTAGCCACAATGCATAAGCAAATTGAGGCATAACGCAGTTGTGTTTTTACTGAATAGATAAGCGCATAAAGAAATCGTGGTTGGAGCATATTGCCCACACTTCTAGCATGGATACAAGATGTACGCATCGCCTTACTCTGTTAGTAGGCAACCCCAGGAAACGACATATGTGTGCATAAAATGTGCATACTAATCTACGCTCTGACTGTTCCGTATATTTTAATGAAGGAACAAGTGGGGAAAATGTTACACTCATGTACATCGCATTGCAAAACCAAGGAAACCGATTTGATGCTTCCGCAAAAGAAGCTATGCCAAATTTTTGCGTTCATTAGCTAATGCAACTAACTTTTAATTTCAGGACAGCGAAGCTGGACATCCTTCAGATCAAATTCAGAAGAAAATTCATCTCTTATGGAAAGTTACACAGTGGGTCTATTCAAACTATTCAGATGTTGCCTTCCCGAGAAATAATAACTTTCTTTATCATTTCAGCATGCAACGAAAATCGAGGTTGTTTCTTACTTCTAAATCAAACAACATGAGATCATCTAACTAATGCTTTATCCTAATGTCCAAACTCGTTAGGCTTCCTTTTATTTGGACTAGGAGATAATAATGAGCACCCAGTGATCGATGTAGCATTAAGTTGGAAGCCATGGCCCTGTCAAACGGAAGCATTATTATATTAGTGCGCACTGCAAATGAACGAATCGAATTGGCTGTAATAATTTCCCCGAATTTCTCCGCACCACTGTTTAGCAGTCCTGATATTGGGCTGTACATGACACAGGACCAATCCAAGAAGAATTTCAAAACTACTGGCTTGTTAATCATTCTGATTGTAGTAGATTCGATAAACATTTATTGCTTAGAATAGCCTTGGTAAACAGCTCACCTCAAAATCACAAAGATTAACCATCTTCTCTGTTCCACTGGAGAACGAGCACAATATCAGTTTCCTTCAGGTAATGAATTATTTGAGCTCATCTCAAGGTTGAACAGTGACACAGAACGGTTGGTGATCAAGTGCATGAATCTTGCTTCCACTCAGGATTGGGTCAACTCGCCTACAGAACTAAAGCACTTTGCCTAGTCAAGTAAAGTTAAAACAAGCTTTATGCATCCATCTTCGAGTATTATCAGTATTTTTACATGAACACTGTGGCATTCAGTGCAACCAAGCATCAATGAGTAAGTAGACATTGACAGATGTAAGTACGAAAATTTGCATCTGCATTCAAACATACGGGCATGGAAGTGGTTATTTCATTCCTGATAACAAACGTGATAAATAAGACAGTATGGAGTTTCGAGACGACGTACTACGAGCATATAGAGCCTTATATTTCTCCATTGTGAAATAACTATATGTTGTGTTGGCTAGAATCATATGTACTGGATGAGAAGTGTTGGTATAATTCTGAAATAGTTCTAAACTCATGAGTTCTTGACCAGTTCTAAACATTTGTAAGTTGTTGGATGAGAGGGGTCGTTTCAAATCCTTGAGAAAGGTTGATGCTTGAGGTAAAAAATTTCTTAACGATAAATTCAAGAGCGCTTCTTTTCTTAATACAGTGCAGCGAGGAATAGCGTTTGGCAAACAGACAAGAAGAACACGATGTAGTTAAAGAAGTCAGGAAAAGCTAACAAGGGAACTGTATGACCAAAGAGGGAGAATAAATGTAGTCAAGAAACATAGAATTAAAGCACTGGGAACGGAAAGCATTTTAACCCAGAGCAAATACGGAAGAGCTGCCCACCTTTCAAATGTTTCAAGAAAATGTTTGAGCCATGATAAGCTGAGGTAGGAAAAATCTGAGCTGTTTTACGCTAGATGAATGAGGTATACCACGGTCACCCACAATCATGGGCCGAGAGACATGTACAATGGACTGTACTTTGATGGAACGCAGAACACAGAACCTTATGTCCTAACAATTGGAACGGTTGAGAGAATGGTATCAGGAGGTCAACCAAGTCATTAATTCGACTAATCCTCGTAGTAGTTTCTTACAGTCCTCGATGATTGGGGTTACATCAACCAGGACGACGTTACCAAGGTTATAAAGTGCGAAGAATAGAGAGAATTTCGATGTAGGTTGAGACTAAAAGGCATGCTAGGAGGACTGCTTGAAAAACGTCACATTTAGCTTGGGATCCAAGACTTATTACCGCATAGGTGACTGAATTGAGTTCATTTTGTAAAGTACCGTAATTTTCGAACGATAATGTGCACAGAATTATAGGACGCGGTATCAGCGAACGGATCTATTTCCGTACAAAAGGCGCACCGGATTATAAGGGGCATAAAGCGAAACAAACTAGCTGGATAGCTCAGACTTAATTCAACCCATTAACAATAACTGTCAATATCTTTCATTTGTAACACGTAAAACACCGAAAAGTACACTAACTAGTTTAAACAATCCTTTTATACTACTCTGTCCAATTCTTCGTCTTCAATGTTGGATTTTAACGTTTGCGTGATAGCGGCACCAGGCAAACCCGGATTTCTCTCCTCATCATCCGAGTCAGTCTCGTTGCTGTTGCTTGGCTGTTCATTGATGAATCCGGTCTTTGTGAAAGCTCGGACGATAGCTGAGACGGATACCTTGGCCCATGCATGGACGATCCATTAGTTGATATTGGCTAACTAGCCCGGCGTTGCCTCCCTTTCTTGGTAAATGCGTGCTCACTTACTGTCATCCAATGCTCCCACGAGGTTTGCACTTTAACGTTGAACGCCATGTTGACACCAATATCTAGCGGTTGGAGTTCTTTGGTTAATCCTTCCGGAATGATGACAAGCTCCGAATTAGTTTTCTTCACTTTGCATTTGACAACCTCGGTGTGGTGGGCATACATGGAGTCGCAGATCAATAAAGACGGGGATAAGTGGAAAAAGCCATCCGGTCTCCTGTTGTAAACTTCTCTCAGCACTCGCTGATTTTCTCCTCGTCTATCCAGCCTTTTGGGTTGAGCTTGACGATGACTACAACAGGAAACCTTCCTTCTGGCAAAGTCTTCCTCTTAAGATTGACATGGATGGTATTTTCTGGTTATTAGCCTGGTAACCGAGAACTAGAGTGAATGACGATTTTTTGTTCCCTGTGGTGCGTATAGATACAGTAGACGTCCCTGTTCTTTCAACAATACGGTTCACGGGTACCTTAAACCTGAAACGAACCTCGTCCGTGTTTGTGAAATGGTCTGGCTGGATCATCTTTTCTGTGCTCTTGTTCTTTCAGTAAGTGCGGAAGGTGGCTAACGTTTCTCGCAATCCTTTGACAATTTCTGCGAGAGGGTAGTTCTTGTGAGGAAGGATAGATGATGTTTTTTCATAAAACAGAAGCAACAGGAAGGACCTCCTTGAAAACCGTTCATCTTCATATCACATGCCATCGCTATTGCCTTGAATCGAATAGAGACTGCAGAGACGCTTCTACCTACCGTTCTCTGTTCAGTAATCCACTGCTCACTTTTGTCCTCTAACTGTGGCCATCATGCTTTGTTCCCTTTGGAAACTTCTCGTTATCTTCTTTACTTGGCGCAGGTCAGCTTCTTGCTTCTTCCACTGCCGTACCATTAATGCATTGAGGTTGAATTGTTTTGCAGCTGTTCTATTCCCATGTTTTACTGAGTGGCTGATGGCCTTGAGTTTGAAATCCGCTCGTAAGCTTGTCTCTTAACAGGTGTCATTTTGGGGTCCTTAATTACCCGTATGTTGAAGCACAGTACGTTTCAGGAAAAGTGGTATGGGTAAGCGAACAGGCTTTGTCTTGATCGCCAGTATGCGACTGGCACTGATAATCTTATCGTGCTTGACCTCATAGGTTGACCAGATTGTATAGTATCAAGCCTTTCTCCGTAAGTGCACTGTTACTCATTCCGTAGTACTCGCACGACGTAGGTTCCAGTTGTCTAGTCGAAAAACTCAATTTGGACGATGATGTGAGGGAATCTCACACGTGCGTCGCCGACTGTCTGGATGACTGCACGTCTTTGGAACACTGGTGTGAGTGCAGGTCGTGTGTTCAAACACCTCTGCAAGCAGCGAGATAGAGGTGCGCGTTTTGAACAGTGATTGCAAGGTGCATTGTTAGACCAAGTGAGTTTGCCGGGTGGAGTAGCCATCACCAGTATCACAGTATGGCATAACAGCGTGCATGGTGGAATACTTGGTTGCAGAGAGAAATTGGGTGCTGCCCGCTCGAAAACATTGCACTACTAGGACGCGTTTCTATGTTATTACATCTTATCAGAGAAAGTTAGCAGGCATCGAACCCGGGATCATTGGTGACCGCTACCACTAATCCACCGGGTCACGAAAAGGCAACACTTCGCACATCGGTCTAATGAACAAAGTTGAGGGTCGTTTTGAACTACACTAACATCCTAATGGTCCCGGGTTGAATGTCTGCTAACTTTATCTGATGCGATGTAATAAGTTCGAAACGCGTCATAATAGTGCCGTGTTTTCTGGCGGGCAACACCCAATTTCTATTTGCATCAGCTACGGTCCACATGGTTGATAGACTGAGGTTCATTTCAATGGGAATCGCGGTCAACACTGAGATTGCGCGTCGCAATACACCCGCACAACGTGCACTTCAAAATGACCTTCAACATCAGAATTGTTAGTTGGTTTATCGTCGCCAGAAAAGCTTGAATCAGGTGGCTGCTGCACAAAGTTCGCCACCCCCAAAACAAGTCTGTCTAGACAATCTGGAAAGCTGACTTCACGAGGTTCCTGACCAGCGAGTGTGCTTCGACAATCAAAGTCGTAATGGAACACTTTGACAGATTTTTCAGCGCAGTGTGAACATATAAATTAATTCCAGGTCACTAGGCCTCAGCGCAACCATTCATACAAAAGGCGCACCGGAATATAAGGCTCACTGCCGATATTTTAGTAAATACAAGGATTTTTAGTGCGTTTTATAGTCCGAAAAATACGGTGATTAGGAATCACATTAAACACATACGGGTAAGACTATTCTGGGACAAAATGTTGGACACCAATAATTTTTTGGGGAGATCAAAAAGTAGGCCTATGCTCTTGCATTTATTGTCCAACACTAGCGCGATGGAATGCACCGGAAAAGAAACGGTATCCAATGCAGAGCGCGCTAGTTTATAGGCAAAGTGTTTGACATCCTCAGCATGAGTATCTTTGAAAATACGAGGTTCACCATTTTTTCTAGTAACTTTAGCAGCGCGAAGGTGCACGCAATTAGCAGGCACTTGTTAGATCTCGTTTTAGGCATTAGTGTTATTCTGGCTGATTTCCAAATGTTGGGGATTGTAACAGTCCTTAAGCACTGATTCGAGGTCTCTGTTAGATGCGCCGCTTAAAAATCTGTCCATTTTTCTAAAGCGATTACTAATGGAGCATCCGGACCACTAGCCCTCTCTGGTTTTAGTTTGTGAGCTCTCTGTGAACCTTTGCGTAATAAAATAAAGTAGGATACTTAGTAGTGTTACGGGAAGGCAGCGGAGTGTGTTAAGTGATGAAGAGCTGAACCTAGCCATTTGATGCCGTGTTCTAAAGGAATTTATTCCAGGAAAGTTTTCTTAGACGCTTCCACAAGTCACAACAACTGTACACAATATAATGCCACCTTATCTCAGCTATTATAGCCAAGGACATACAGGTAACACGAGCAATTAGCTATCGTTTATAAGCCAGTGCATTTTTCCTCCGCATTTGCTTTAGCAACGGAGATGAAAAGCTGAGGTTTAGCAAATAAATGGTCTCAATTGGACAACACAGACCGAACCAGAAGTTTGTATAGGCTGTGAGGTGCTCGCATTGGGCGGACAGTTTTTGTTGTTACATAAACTGTTAACATTGCAAAGCTCTGATTATTTAGAGATGAAGTTGTAGATCAAATAAACTGCAAGCTATTCCAGCTGCTTTACTGAACCAAGTGGTACACACGTATCTCTGTTTAACATTGGGATCGAAAATAAGCTGTTTGTCTCAAAGTATTACATCAAAATGAAAGGCTAAATATATTTCACATTGACCTTGCTGGACATAACCAACTTCAATAGTCGCAACCAAACGGTCTAGGAAATCACACTTAGATTGTCATCACGAGCACTGATGTTAAGTTAAAGAAAAGTAATGTCTTCAGACGGCAGATAATCAGGTGAATATCTTGCCTTTGCCTAAGTGGTTTTGAATGATTCTGACTGGCATCTCATTAAAGTGCGTTACTTTGATGTTAAAAAGAAGGACTAGTTTAACAATCGTGACCTCAAAATATAAAATATAGCGTTGATGATCTGCTCGCTGTTCGCTAAAACCATACTGTCATCAAATACCCTAAAAAACTGTTCAATATTGTCACCGTTTTTGTTTGCTACAGGAGGTAAGCGGAAAAGGCCCACTGCCAGTTTGACGGCACCAAATGTTCTTCATAGAGATTTTCATGAGGAGGAAACTTATGCTGCTCAAAACTGTACATCTTTTCAGGAAAGTGCATCCTGTCAAAGAGACCGATAGCTGGTAGCAAACCCGAAATAACCAAGTTGATCAAGTTTCGACCCTTCTCAGCTGAATTATGGAAAAAATTGCGTCAATAAATTATGGGCGAACCACACGCTGTTAGGGTCAAGCAATCCTTGAGTTACCACTGCATATACATAAGCCTGATCACTGAAGAGAGAATGTCGATATGTTAGGAGAAATTGAGTTAACTGAATTTTGATTTTAATTAATGGATACACACGCATCCAACTATGTCGTCTTGCCTCACACTGTAGTGATTTGCTACCTTGAGTAAACTGGTTTGTATCGAAGTACATTCTTTATTTTCCTATCAGTTTTCACCAGAGAATTCGTACGCAGCATTGTTTCACAGAGGCAGAAGGCGACCAATTCGCAGACGTCCAACGCCACGCAAGTCACAGAGTACCCCAGGTTCGTCTTTGCATGCGAATGTTCCTCGGATACTGATCCGTTTGAAGCACGTATGAACGACCCAGTTCAATAGTCTCAATTCTGCTGGTAGCCACAAATATAAGCAAGAATTTTTGTAGTGTTGCGGTTAGATTGTTAGCTGCTCCCATCATTAATCTTTTATGATAAACATTGCATTTTTACCTGCACTAAATATCGAATATTGACCCAACTGGCTTCGCCAGCCTTACTAGTTCTCAGCGCTAGTTTTAACTACCTGTTATACTCGTAGTTCATAAGTGACACTTTAAGTATTGCATGACGCTTCAAACTTCCTTGGGACATCAAACAGTGGAAACGATCCTGTTGGCACCATGTGTTATCATCCATTGACGTGAAAGCAGGCATAGGCTTCAGTAAATGTGGTGGCTCGAAAACAAAACATCCTCAGTTACTGCTCCAAAATTACTTATAAGTGGGAGACACTAGTGGCTCGCAAACAGCTGATCCATCACTAACTGTGGATAATGATAGCAAGGTCATCATTCCGTTACACTGGGTTCCATCATTTCGTGAAGACAAGGTGCGTGACACAGACTTGTTTGGATTGGATACTTGATTGTGCTTATATCTTATTTACGTTCAGCAATTGCAGTTAGTTTGGTCCCGGAAGATCGTGCCTGAACCTGGGTGACATTGCTCAAGGGTAAGGGACCAACTTAGTATAGATAGTCTAAGCAAACTACTGTCACACAAAACGCCTTGTCAATTCGTCCATCGAGGAAACTTTTGAACTTCTAAACTTAGTGATAATATCCGCAATTTATTTTCAATGAAGTTCTTGAAACACGATCGCTTCTATCTACATTACTTTCCTTCAGCTTCCATTGGTGTACATTCTGACAAGTTGCCCAATATTGCTCCCGCTCACCCGGCAGAAGTACCAGCCTATCCGCGTCACAACCGGTTCACACCTTATTCAGAGGAAATTCGGCATCCGTTGGTTCGTTTCCAAGATGCGGGCTCTCCTGGGAGAAGATCTCGGTTAGACACAATATTTGAACCACGTGGCATCCTTAAACATAATAACCAAGTGCGCTCAAGTCCCAGAAAGGCGATCCTCGTCAATCCGGCACCTAAGAATTATGAGTTGAATTCCTTATTTGTATCCCAGGAATACAATCGCAACACTTACAGTGCGGTCTCAAAAGCACGTCCAAGTACGACAGTACCGCCATGTGGAATGACCCACGAGAAACCAGACGTTAGTGAAAGGTTGAAACACCAAATTCTTTAGTGCCAGTTTAAAATGTTCTCTTTTATGGTTAGGTGTTATTTTTCATATTTGTTCCACGATCCTCGTTCCTTTCATTTTGTTGCGGGAACGATAATAATGGATGCTGCTGCTCAAGACTGAACTTAGATTCCATGTGTAACGCTGAGCACGGTTTGCTGTATTGTTGTGCTAGAAACCAACATGTGGTTTGAAGCAAGCAAATTGGAAATTGCTGCGTGAGCATATGCTCCTCACTCAAACACGTAAACAGATGGGCTTAGAAAATGTTAACAAAGTGACATGTTCGAGCGTTACATTTTGTGCTGCCAAGCTTGATACTGAGGCGTGAAGTGGTTGTGGTACAAAAAGATGCTTGTTAGTTTGAATTGGCCACTTCGTAAAGTGACTCTTGGGAATAACACAGCATCCTGCTTGGAACACCGCATCCTACTTCACGGGCTCCAACGCTATGGAGTTGGTGATCCTGTACTTCGGTGGATCAGAAATTTCCTGCAGGATCGGCAACTGCAGGTCAGAGTTTGAAGTGCGCTGTCCGATCCGATTTACGTCGAAGGTGGACTGCCACAAAGATCAGTTCCGGGGCGGCGTCTGTTTCTCGTGCTTATTAATGAGCCAACGCGTTTGTTTGCTTCAGAGTTCTTGCTGTTCGCTGACAACCTTAAGATGTGGTGGGCGATCGCCGACCCAGCAGATCTCGATACAGTTCAGCAAGACCTAGCCAGAGCCTACTGGTGGTCACTACAGAGTCTGCTTAAGTTCCATTCGGGGAAGTGTAAGGTGGTTCACATCCGCCACCAGCTGAACATCATTTACAAGCTTAGAGATCACGTCGTGCAAGCAGTCACCCAGTAACGCGACCTAAGGGGTAATAGTTCCGCTTGATCTGGGCTGCTCAGAACAATCTAAGGAGTCAAATACCGGGAACAAACGAGTTGGCGCGCTGCGGAGGGCATTTGGGCGGTTCGATCCCTTCTCCTGTTCGCAGTTGCTTAACACCTACTTGCGACCCTAAGTGGAATACTCGACCCAGGCCCGGCAGCCCTACATAACTATGTTTGACTCTTTCTGCGTGCCTCTATGTTAACACTGTGATTCCACCAAACGAATTTCCTTTTCTTCCTTTATTTGCTAGTCACCATGTTGTGGCTCTCCTTGTAGCCATCCAACGTGACTTGCTAAGCATTCGCTTGTTTGCCTTTAATATACCATTTTCCATTGTTCCATTAAAAGGTGGAAATTCTTGTAGAAATCGTTAAATCTTCCACTGTATTTGTTCCTCTCTTCCATGTTGACTTAAAGATTATTTCTTTTCGCGCAACTATAGCATGGCTGAATGCTAACGACTCAGCAAACATCTATCCTTTCACTGCAGTTACAATTTCCCTGCAACAACCTGGCATGGCTATTTGTTCTCAAGCTCATCCGTTTTTCCAGAAACATCGCATTAGTATAATGAACCGAAGGGCCATAAATGCGCGCGGTAACAGACAGACTTAGATACTGAATTGATTCGCAGCTGGTCCGTGTTTTTAGGAAATGTGGTTGAACAGTATACTACCTACAAATAGATGAAGGGAACTTTCGCAGTAGTGCACCTGCCAGCAGAAGTAGCTGCTGCGGCTGTTGAGCGCATGTAGCAGATTGTTTAGACAACAAATTGACATTTGCCGCGTTTTTCTCTGAGCTGCTGCAACCAAAGTAAAACAGGTGTATAAGCTGCTCGTCAAAGTAGCATTAAAAAGCCTTGAGCAATAACGGGTGCATGAAACATTCACTGAAAAAGAGGAGCAACCTTTAAGAGAAATTTTAGTTACTTAACCAAGTATTTGAGGAGGACTTTATGAGTCGCATACAGTGGAGCAACTTATTATGTGATTTTATCGTTGCGGAACCTCGGTCGGTGATGATTCTAAACCTGGATGCCACTCTGCATCAGCAGATCATGACCATGCTCACGGAGTACCGGCTGTGATCCGTGTAAATCGTCGATTAACTGTTGGAGAAGTTGTTAACGCAGATGGCAACAGCTTAGGATCATGCCATTAGCTTTTGTGGGAATAGTTGTGGTACGTCGTGTTAGGGCGAAATTAATGCCACTGAACCTCGTTGAAATCACCCAGGAAATGCTCGTTATTTTTAACGACATTGAAAATTTCCTTAAGAACATGATAATTGGCGGTTAGACGGGTTCATGCCTCCTTTGATTCCACACTTTCGCACTCTAACCATGACACGGTAAGTCGCTTTTTGGCGTGCAACAGCTGAGAGATTGTTAGCTGAAATCTCGTGAATAAAGGTGTTTGATACAAAGATCGTTCTAAATAAGACAATGAGAAGACTGGTATTGCGACATTGAACCATTTCTCGTTATCTGCTCACGCACAAACTAACAACTTAAGTATGATTCACGTGATAGAAAAATCAAAGGTTTGCAACTGGTCAAAAAGGGATATTACGTAGACGCATGAATAGCAGATCAACGAGCTTGAACTTAGGGTCATGAGCCCCAAGGAAACTTTAGGGAGACTGTTAATTGTTTCTGGACACAAAGGATAAGGCGTTGCCGGTTAAGTTCCACAGCTTCGGCGAACCTCAAAACTTTGGGGTTTCCATTCCGTTAGATAACTGTAAATGTTGACCCAGGGTCAACCTGATTGCATGTTTCGATTAGATGTCCGGCGAAAGATGATGCAGGCAGCTTAGATACCTTTTCTTTTTCGGCTGTTTGTTGTGTCGATAGTTTAGCTATCCGTTTTGGGATATGCTTTCCATTGCGCTTACCCAAGGATCGATCTGTTCTGCCAATGTAACTACTTCGCAGTTACAAACGAATTAGTAAATACAGCGGGGTGTGGCGGAGATCGGTTGCGTAGACTTCACTGGTTATTTTACGAGTGAGTAGATAACACGAAATCGTTTCATCTCGCAACACCAGTCTTCTCATTGTCTTATTTAGTATGATAAAGGGAACTCATTGCCTTAAAATTACCGTTGTAAAATGTCCACGAAAATATAACTTTTAAGGGCGTGGACTGTGGCAAGTTTCACTTTTCGCTAAAATACCGTCAAATGCGCTCTGTGCGACAGACAGACTCACATAGTCTACTGCAACACTGTCGACAGGATTCACTAGTATCTACACCACCACCTCTCAAGTCTTCATCGTTCAATATGGCCAGTGTGGAGCAGTGTCTAGCGATCAACCTCCTCTGTTGAACATGTACCATTCAGTTCACATACTACGCTTGCTCAGGCCGTGTCCAACTCTGAAGTTGAGTCACCTGTACCTCCATTGTTCCGACCCGCGTCTGGGTACTCCTCAACACGAATGAAGCTAAGCCATGCTTCCTCCACTTCAATGTCAGAAAACAGCGCCAGGTGAAAACGAAAATGGACTGAATGCTGAGCCCAAGACCATTACCGTATTGGCTTGCGCCAGTATCTCATCAAATAGCTAGGATAACCCTAGCTGCATAAAAGGACACCAGAAAGATCACCTCACAGCCCGAGATGAAATGACACAACACGAATTTTAGCTAAAGCCCGTTCTGGACTAAAATCCGTAGCTACATCAACTGAGTAAAGAGAAGAATTAATCAGAAAAGCCTACGTCACTGGAAAGCAACGAGACCGCCGTTCGCAACCGACACATGATAATCAAAAACTTTTTCGCGTAGGATCAAAACAGACCGCAGCTGAGAAGTTACTAGATGTCCAGACCTTCCTTAAGCGAATGGTCTCCATAATGTTTGTTGATGGCGATCAAAGGGAACAAATTTATCACTGATTTAGCCTCGACAGAAATATGCATGGCCCATCATAGTTTCGTGCTGAAAATAGTTTGCCCGGATGAAGAAGAATGATGACGTCTAGTGAGAAAAGTACGCACGATAATGGTGTAATCTTCTACGCATTGGGTGACTTCTCCCCGGAGGATTAGGACAAATGCGACAAGCCGCCCCCGACATGCGTGCCCGACAAGCGGATGGAGAAGCTAATCTACACGTTATAGTTTTTCTTGTATTACGAATAACTCCGAGAGCTTGATACAGGCCAATGTTCCTCCTGCCTGGACCTCAAACATTAACGGATTAAGAGCAGTATTTGCGAATGTGTGGGCAGTTCCTGAAAAAACGTAGATCAGATTCCTCTCCTGATCTTTGAAATTCAACCGGACCTAATTGCTTCACAGAGACATGGTTATATGAGCGCTCGGACATGGAAGTTCATGTTGCGGCGTATCAGCTCTCTCAATGTGTTGGCGGTGGGAGGTCTGGAGGCGTATATTCCTCTACTCAAAGACCTACCTCAAATTCTACATTGTCAAACCCGATTTTGACAACGAGGGTACATCAGAAGTGCTCTGGTGTATAACTCATGACGGATACCGGTCACGGATGGTCGGAGTGGCTTGCAGAACGCCTGCAGGACCCGGCTCACGCTTACCGAACTCCGTGCAAACCCATGAGAGAGCACAAATTCTATGACCATGGTTAACTTACAATGAACAATGTTATGCGAGTAAAGAAGTAGTTGCTTTACAAGTCCCGCAGGATGGTGGGATAAAATGACAATTATCAAACGATAGGTGAGTTGAATAATGCCGTAAGAAGACAAACACTGGCAGATGTCAACATTTCGTATTGTCTCTTCAGTGCCAACACAATAACATGAAACTATATAAGACGACAGGTAGGGTGAGACCGGAACAAGTTAGAACAGGGTAGAGGGGCAGGCGTGACACCCCTACGCCCAGGGCAGCCGTAGGCTTACGAACAGCTGTTTCTGCACACAGAGCGCGGGTTTGATACGGCTGATCGCGACTGCCTCTGCGAAACGTAGGAAACGGGCGTTAGCATGTCTTAACACGATTGTAAACATTTTGGCCGGATCAAACTGATGACAGGTGACCAGTAAATGCCTACCTATGGATGAAGCAGGTGGCTTACGTGAACAGATGGTATGAG